GATTCCGGATCGAATTCCGGATCGACTGCTTCACCGGTCCTTCCCTGCACAGTTCAGTGACTCCGGGGGAGCCCCAGCGCTCCGTTTGAATCGCTAAACACTTGACTAACCCACTGACAAGGCATTCCACTCACCCGTGCAAAATTTTCGTGGGAGTGAAAAAAAAGGCGGTCAATAGCCTCCGAGGCTATTTAACAGCTTCTGAGGCTATTTAACAGGTTCTGAGAACCATGAACCAAATCAAGCTTTGTTCCCATAGCTTCTGAATTTTATTTATATATATAATTAAATATTTCATTATTTGAATTTATATATTAACTTAAAAATGTGCGACGTCGTCTGGGAATCGTGCGCCTCCATGAAGTCGATTTCGAGAAATAAATAGCCAAATTAAATAGCGAAGTTAAATAGCCAAGCACGAACGACCTTGCTCGGCGACCCGATCGTGCAAAAATTCGCAAATCATTCGCAAATTCGCGTCCAACTCAATAATATCCGGAATCAGCAGAAAGGAGGAGCACGATCTCCCTTGCATCCGGGGACGCAAAGTGGACGCGAGGAGGTCCGTGAAGCAAGTCCCTCGGGTGTTTGGGTTAAAAAACCCTCTCCGTTCGACAAATAACAGAGTTAATTCCTGATAAAGCACAAACAACAGGGTGGATTTATCGTCCCTGGTGCAGACAGGCATCCATTAAGCCCGCGCGGAATTCTCGCGGTTCCTGGAACGGCCTGGAGGGTGGTCGGCATGCCGGTTTAACGGCCGAGATCGCGATGGCCCGAGGAAGGAGGAAGGAATCGGCGTAATGAAGGGAGGGAGGTCAGCTGGCAGCCTCGGGGCACGCGGGCATGTGGGCTGCGAGAGATTCCCCCAGCGAGGGATTCTCCGTTATGCACGCCTGGTTCCCTCCCGCCTATAAGCACGCCTGAGACCTTCCTCCCCGCTCGCCTTCCTGCCACCGATATGCAGGGGCGGAACCAACGCACTCTCGTTATGCGAGCGGCGGAAATGCGAACCCCTTCATCGCCCATATGTTTTTCTCGACTCCCTTTCGACGGAACGCTGCTGACTTAAGCTTTCCAGCCTGTGTTAAGGACATCTCGAGTCACATTAAAAAAAATGTAAATACCCATGTTAATCCAGGCGCTAGATATTATTTATCTTGCATCCATGACGTCAGCTTAAAGCCTTTCATGCCTCGAAGCACTCCGCGGGGGTCCCTCGAAACGTCCCCGCTCCCATTCGAAACGTCCCCGCTGTCACTAACCGACCGCCGGCAAGGTTGCAATTAATCGGGACATTCCAAGCAGGTCCCTCCACCGTGAAAGGCTTCATCCCTCCACCGTGGAAGGCCTCATCCCTCCTTTCCATTCCCTTTCCGGCTGGAGGAGCCGCAATTACGCGAGGCATCGAGTGAGACCCATTTTGAAAAACGTCGAAAAAATTCCTGGCGGCGAAATAAAGTGCAAGCCGTTTCCCTCCCTTGAGCGTATTCACGCCCACTTGCGTCCCATTCATTTGCATAAACAGACTTCATCCCTTGGGATCGTCTGGGACGCTGCCAGGCGGAGACGATAATGAGTGACGATAATGAGTGACGATAATGAGTGACGATAATGGGAGACGATAATGGGTGACGATAATGGGAGACAGCGGAGAAGCACGGAACGACCGCCTCCTCCTCGGGGTTCAAGGACCATTGAATGACTCCCCCCGGGACGCCCTTCATGAATGGGATTCTCCCTCCCGTGACAGGCCGTGCTTCCTGTCGTAATCCGAGACCTCTCACAATGAGTCGTTACGGCTCCGCCGCGATCGAGCGGGGCGATATCATCTCGCTGGGCGACCCGAGGGGGCGAAACAAAGGCGGCCCGAGACGCACGGAACGAAATGAAGCTCATCTCGGTCAATGAGATAATTGAGAGAAAATGTAAGCTGTATTGACATTGACATTGATGAACCTTGGGGTGAGTCGACGATGTTAGCACGAAATAAGAACGTATAAATAATGTTAATGAATTAGGAAAAAAAGAAAATGGAAATAATTGAAAATGTCTTAATTAAGAGTAAATTACATTATTCAGAAATTATGAAAGATCTAAAAAAAAAAAAACATTGACAGTTTGCGGCAAATTTTAAAGCATGACAATATTCAACTGGGCCAACTAAAATACGCAATATTAAGACATGAAAACCACAATAATTAATAACGGCTTCACATAAACCTAAATGCAGACTGGTAATTTATGATAAATGACGAGATCGATGATTTGCAAAGGATTTGAGAGTTAACGGGGATCTCTTCATGCACGTTCGGACTGCTCGGTTCGTTGGCCATTAAGTCGTGTAATTACGCTCGGAGAGGCGCGTGGGTGGCAAGAAAGCATCGGGTTCGCCGGGGACAAAAGTCCTCATTCATTACGCGTGGGGTGCCTCCTCCACGCACACACGCCTCCGACGCATCCGCCCGTGAACTCCGGACGACGCGCGGCGGGAGGTGGCACGAAGAAATTCCTTCGATTGTTTTGGACGTTCGCGTCCTCCATAATCCGAATCTTTTCTAGTGGAGGCTTTGCTCTGCTGATGAAAGAGGCTGGTCGTGACCGTTGGGAGTGAAATGCAATGGAATTATCGCAGGGGGACTCAGAGCGCGAATGTCACAGTGTTGGTATGACTGTTTACCCGAATTCAAAATTATTTTTATTTAATTCATCCTTTCACAGAAAGGTATTAGGATATATATTGAATAGTACGGTACTCACCATTAAAATATATAATATAGAAAATATGTTTGTTTCTACGACATTGCAAATCTGTTTTTAAATGTGCCTGTCTTGAAGTTCATTGAGTCACTTCATTTATCGACATAAAAAAAACCTGGTATGGAAAAATGCAATTGGTACATAAAATGAGAAGGATTGGTACATAAAATGAGAAGGATTGGTACATGATTTCTCTCGTAATCGTCCTTCGACTGCCATCCTTGCTTAAATCATTGGGAGAAATTCCGGCACGACAGGAACACGGATACAAACGACTCTTTTCCTTGCAGGCGACCCTGCCGGGGGATCGTAAACCTGTCGTCTCGGTCGCTCCTTTCATCTCGGTCGCTCCTTTCATCTCGGTTGCTCCCGTCGTCGTCTCGGTCGCTCGAAAGGAAGACGGATGGGGTTGCGCAATCGCCATATGCCCCAGTTTCCTTTGTTCTCGTTCCGGACGGGGAGGGAGCGCTCGGATGCGCCGGCTCGCGCCGTAAATCCTCGAGGCGATTTTTCGTCGCTGAGTGCGTGTACTTCAGTCGCTGACTCGAGTGCGTGTACTTCAGTCGCTTGAGGCGGGTTCTTCCTCGGGAAGAAACGCTTTCAGGCGAGAGATTGGCTTGCGTTTCCGGACTTTTCCTCGGAAAAATTTTTCCAGACTGATGAATGCCTCGTTTTCGTCAGATTTTTTTTTTGCGGCTCGTCGATCAGTTCGGCACGAAACATTTTTTAAGCGTGAAATCCTAAGCAGCTGCTTGGCAGTTACTTGGGACGTTTTACTTAGCGCGATGAAGCTGAAAATTGCATCTGTTAAATGGTCGAAAATGTAAAATTTTTTTTGACATTTAATGTTTTAAATCGCTTTAAATGGAATTCTTACCTTGAAATGTCAAAAATCTAATTTTTCACGTGAAAATTTTCTTGTCCGCAATTGTTATATATGATAGAGAAAAAAATAAGGTGATATGTAATCATCGTTTAAGTCGGTATATATATATTAAGACTCATCCGACTGTATCAGCCACCCGGCAAGGAAGAGAAAAGCGGGACTGACCTTGGCAGGGCGCTCTTGATGCCCGGGATGCCGTAACGGTCCGAGAGGAAGGACTTGGGCAAGGACATGGAGCGGGGGTGGTGCCGGTCGAAGCCGCCTTCTTCGGGGGCTTCGGTGACGGAGACGACGCGCTTGGCGGGGGGTCGCTCTCGGGAGGGCGCCGGGGGGAGGTAGTCGGGCAGGGGCTCCTCCGGGCGCTGGCTCGGAGGAAGACTTGCCGGGTGGGGAGGACTTGGCGGGTGGGGAAGACTTGTCGCTTGGGAGGCGCGGAGGGCGAATGCGTCCCAGTCTGGCGTCCAGATTTCCTTCAGGTCCGGACTGGAACAGTTGGAGTCTTCCGGATGGCCCTTGATCCGTTCCAGTTCCGCCGTGATCTGCTGTAGGAGTTCCCGGTTCTTTTCGTTCCGGTTTCCGCCGGATTGGCTCGGCGGGTCGGTCCTGGCGATGCCGTTTTTCCGGGTCGCCGACGGGGTCTGGGGCCGGACGAGTTTTTTGCTCTCCGGGGCGGGGGCCTTGTTGGCCTGGTTTGTCGGCGGTCTCAGCGATCTCGGTGGTGTGGCACTCGGCCGAGCAAGTTTTCCTGCTTCGTTGGGTTGAGGGCGAGCTGCGTTTTTGGCGTCTTGTGCTCTGGATGGAGTGCGTTGCACCCGGTTGCTCGGAGTCCTTCGAACCGGCTGGGATTTTCGGTTCCCTGAAATGTCCCCATTCACTGAAACGTCCCCGTTCACTGAAACGTCCCTATCCACTGAAATGTCCCTATCCACTGAAATGTCCCTATCCACTGAAATGTCTCCGTTCATTGAAATGTCCCTTTTCCCTGAAATTTGTCGGTTTCCTGAAATGTCCCTGCGAATTGAAATGTCCCTGCTGCCTGGACCCTGCCAGTGACTAGCGACAGGGACTCCCCTGCTATTCGCGGCATCGCGACCGAACGGCGTCTTGGCGACTTCTCGGCAACCCGGCAGGTCCTGCTCGCCCAGGAGATCCCAGTTCCGCAGGCCGTTCGCGACGTTCGACTCCGCGACCGTGTCCGCGACCCGCTTCAGCGAGGAGATGATCGCGTCGAACTGGACGCCGAGGTCGTCCTTCGCGTCCGCGATCGCCGCGGGCGCGACCGGCGCGTTCGAGTCGCCCGAGAGCTCCACGATGTTCACGTACTTCGGCGGCAGCGAATTTTCCAGGTCGGAGTCGATGCCGTTGATGCAGAGTTTCACTTCCGGCGCCGGATTCAGGATTTGGAAATTCGCCGGAATCTTGCCGTCGTCGTTCGACTCGTCCTCCGACGAGGAGCGGATGATGATCCGGGCGACGGCCGGCGTCGCGGTCTTAGTCGCGGTCTTAATCGCGGAATCCGTGGAAGCATTTTTAATCGCCGAATTTAAGGTCGCGATTTTTGTAACAGAATTTGCTGTCGCTATTTTAGTCGCAGGATTCGCTGTCGCTGCCTTAGTCGCAGAATTTGCTGCCGCCGTTTTAGTCGCAGAATTCGCCGTCGCAGAAGGAGATTTAGGAGCATCTTCTGCGACTTCTTTCGAAGCCTCCTCGGCCGTCTTTTGAGGACTCTCCTCGGCATTCTTTTGAGGACTCTCCTCCGGCGTCTCTGGCCTGTCGCCGCCCCTCTTCCTGATCCTGGGGCTGTCCCTCGCCGCCTTCCTCACCGTGAACGTCTGATTCCTCGTGAGGGTCGTGGACTCGACGGGGCGACGGAGGCTCTCGGTCCGCTTGGCCCTCTCGCCCTTGGGCGTCTGCGAGAGGAGGCGGGAGGGCTGGGGAAGACTTGCGAAGGACTTGCCGGGGCGCTCCGGCTTCGGGGACGGCTTCGGGGTCGGTCGGATCCCGGGCCGGACGGCTGCGGTTCCGGCTCTGTTCGGCGCATTGTTGGCCGGCTGGGTCGTCCCGGTCCGGCTGGACGTGGAACTCGTCCGCGATCTCGCGCTCAGGGGCGACGGATTCTTCACTCGCGAGATCAAGGGGGAATTCTTACCGGCTCGCTTGCACGTGGACGAGGCGGTGCTGGACAAGGACGTGGTGGAGTTCGAGCGCAAGGTGGAGCGCAAGGTGGAGCCGGAGTTGTTTCTGGACCGGGGACGGGGGAGGTTCGAGGCGTTTCGCTCCAATTTTGCTCTGACGCCGATGATGGGGGCCTTGGAGATGTCGCCATTTTTTTGAAGGATGTCACCATTTCTTCGGGGGATGTCGCCATTTTTTGTGGGGATGTCGTTACTTTTTTGGGGGATGTCGTTACTTTTTTTGCTCTCGAGGGTCGGTATGCACGATTTTCGGACTTGAGGTTTCGCGAGCACCGATTGACTCCTCCTGGCACCGGGAGTCGGCTTACCGCTAACGGTGAGGTGATTCCGCTTCTGTAATGGCGTGCCGGCTCCGGTGGAACTCTTCGGCGACGCGGAACTCTGAGGCGACACGGAACTCTGGGGCGACACGGAAGCCTCGCTCAGGTTCAGCGAGGAATTCGCACTGCGACTGCCGCGCGACGAGTTGGTCTCCGAGGAGGAGTCGCCCGACAGGTCGAACCTGGGGCGGGGCAGTCGCCCCCTGTACTTGGGGATGTTGCTCCCCTGTCGACCCGTCATGTCGCCGCACTCCGTGTCGGACACCGTCCTCCTAAAGATGGCACTCGGCTCGTTCCAGTGATCCACGAATCTCCCAGGCGCCGAGATCTTCCTGACCTGCCACCCCCTCTCGATGACCGGCACCTGCCACCCCCTCTCAAGGACCGGCACCTGCCACCCCCTCTCAAGGACCTGCACGTGAGCCCGCACAGGTCCATTCGGCAGCACAAAGTCGCATGCTTCTCCCTCGTCGTCGAAACTGGGACTGGCGGCACCGCGAGGCAGCGTGCCCCAGCCCCCCTGCTCACGGGTGCGTGGCCAGGCATGGGCGGCGCTTGACTCCTCCTGCGAACGAGGGAGAGAGAGAGGGAGAGAGAGGGAGAGAGGGAGAGAGAGGGAGAGAGAAACGAGTCAGTCGCTTCTGCCTCGAGCGCCTGTTTTCAGACATGAATCAAATCTAATGCAGGGGAAAGCACCGGAAGCATTCATAAGCCGTACTTGAAATTCCCCTTCGTAAATTAAAATATCAGACTCTGTTATTTATTTATTATATATATATACATATATATATATATATTTTTTTTTTAAACCCGGGAAACGTTCCCAGATCGAATTCCGATGCGTGACGTTGATCGATGCCCCCGGCGAGTCCCGATGAAATCGGGGAACAACAGGGCGAGAACGGAATTCCCCCGGCCGACACCTTGCGACACCTTTTCTCGAATTCCGACTTTCTCTTTCTTCGGCTTTTTGCGAGAGAGTGAAGATTCCATTTAAATAATATTGTTTCGCTTTCTTATTTGCTTTTAAAATATATTATACTTTATTTTACATTATTATACTTTATTATACTTTGTTTATTTTAAGTAATAAGTTGCAACTATCTTTGCGTATAATTTTAACATGTTTCATATTATAACCTCTAATGAATGATATATTAATTTATAACATTTTTTAAAAAATAATTTGAATTAATCTATTTATTTATTTTTAGAAAAAAATTCGCAAAATCGTGAAGGATTTGCCTCCACCAAATCTAGAAATTGGCAAACGGCGTCCGTGGCAAAATATATTAAAATACATCAACACGTGCCTGCTTTAAAAATAAAATATGGTCACGATGGGACATTTAGAATAAATGGCCGTGATGGTACACGAAGAAAAATGGTCTTAACGAGACGCATAAAAATTGGCCATTAGCACCTTCGGGCGGGATTTTTCCCCCCGCGTTCCCTGGAAAGGGCCGCGTTCCCTGGGACGGGCCGGGGTCCCCTGGGATTGATGAGGAGAAGGACCTTGAAGGACAATCGGGCCTTTGAATATTCATGAGGGGGGGGGGGGCCGACCTTTCATTTCTTTCGCGCCCTCTCATTTTCGGACGGGGGGGAATGCGATCGAGATTCTTGTGGTACCACTGTAATTATATTCGCGGAACGGTAATGATACGGCTGTGATGAAATGGGCGTTCTCGATCGGCTGCCGAAGGAATTCCCAATGAATGATCGCTTCATTAAAATTTCACTTATGTATACGTGTCATTTATCATATTTAAATAAAAATTTTTTTTAAACGTTTGTGCTAACCGAGGAGACAAAGGGGGAAGGGGGGGGGAGGGTGGGGGGGAAGGAGAGGGGGAAGGAGGGGGGAAATGAACCGCCAATGTCAACGGAAAAAGGCTCGAATCATCGCAAATAAAGTCGGCTCAAATAAAACCGATTGCTTGTTGCCCCGACTGTCACGGAAGGAAAAGAATTGGGCAATGCCGGCACAAAATGTCATAATAGAAATAGAAATGGTACAAATTAATAAACAACAATAAATTTGAAGAGAGTAAATTTAAAATAATAAATGTGTGATGTGCAACGGATTTCGAACACTTCCAAATAAAAAAATTGTCCCCTTAGGATTGGCCCACAAAAATTTATCTGCTGGGATTGACCCACAAAAACTGTCCCATAAAAAATTGTCCCGTAAAATTAGCACGCTAAACGAGATTTTCATCATTCGTGACTGAAGCAAATGGATGGAATGGATCTCGGAGAGAGATCGCTGGGACAAGCGTCACACTCCCAGGATCGGGACAGATTCCCAAGATAGGGACACACTCCCAGGATCGGGACTGATTCCCAAGATAGGGACAGATTCCCAAGACCCCAATCCCGGCGATGGGAACGGCGTGGCGGGGTCATTACCGCCCTGTTTCGAAAAGGAGGATGACATCCCTGGGCTGTTATCAGTCGTGGGGGCTGTTATCAGCCCGGGCGGGGGCTGTTATCAACCGGCGTGACTGGGCACCTCTCGGGTGTGTGCGCTCCTTGGAGGTGTGTGCTCCTCGGTCACGAAATGACCGTCATTGCTGTCATCTTTTCGAAGGATAACCCTTCTAATTACACTGTTTGCCGATTCTTTTTTGCAAGTATTTTTTGCACTCTTCTTTTGCACGACTTATGACCTTTGCAAGGGTTTCTGCCTGGACGTTCGCTGAATTTGAGCTTTTCTACCAGCTAAATTCGTGTTTGCCTGCAACAGCAGCAGCTTCCTGGCGAATTTACCATGAAACTTCAAAAAACTAAAAATTTTCAGTAAGTAAATATTGCATAAACTTCCCTGCACTTATTTATTTTTAAAACATCCCAGTCTGAATTACTATTTTTTTTTTTACTCCCAAGTTCTTATTTTAAAAACATTTAATTACGTTGTTATCCAAAATCTTCCCAGTCAGCTTTTCTCTCATTGTGCATTTCGCTTAACCTTAATTTCAGAAACTTTTTTCTTTCTATTAACATTTTTTTTTTCACTCTCGCAGCCCGGGGCCACCAAAGACGTCGTTAAGGGAACGAGGGGAGGATGCACTCTGGAAGATGATTGCGTTCGCAGTCCACTTGAATCCCTTCGCTCGCTCGAAATCGCCATCCAAATTAAACGCTGGGGGAGGAGGGAGGAGGGCAGTCGTTCCATCTACCGGCTGGAAACCGAAGCACTAGAGGTGAATCTATTCCTTAAGGTGGAAAAATTTACTAATGTTACGTGCAATTTTCCATTGTTATTAATTTGTTTTCGCTTTTTCAGATTATTTACTTTGCGTGTTTTATTTATTGAATCTTTTCAAAAATTGATTTTTTTTCCGCTTTTGTCTGGAAACCGCGTTTACCTGCAAGAAAAAGGGCGAGAGCAATTACTTTCTCTAATCGTCCGTGAGTGAAAGCGTGAACGGGACTGGACCATTGCCGTCCGTCACCGGGCCCATTCCTGTCCGTCACCGTGGCCCATTACACGGCACCTGGAAACCGCGTGCCGAAAGTCCATTTCCCGAAGACCCCCGGGAGAAAGGGGTTTCCGTCTCCGACTTTTACCCGTCACGAAGGCGCAAAGTGAGAGATTTACAGGTGGCAATGGATCGATAATTGCCCTGCGCTACCCGAAAAAGACGTCGCACGTGCGTCAGGCTCCAGCCTCGAATCGCACCGCAAAATTCCTCATGATACACTTTCTGCCTGAAAGGGCACTTTCACAATTTTGTGGAAGGCTCCAAAAAACAATCGACTCATTTTTCCTTTAAGCTTCTTCAATTTTAGACATTTTGCAGAAACGTTGGAAATTTTTCCTGAAGCGAAAAGTGAATTTTCCCTTCTTCTTAGCTTAATCGTCGAAAATTAATCCGATTATTCATTTGAAATGATAATTAGCCAAACGGTAAGAAACGCAGCCGATATGGCAGACCCTGACCGATTCATCTCGCTCGTCGATTGCCACTCCGGCAACAGGGCAATCATTGCCTGCATACCAATTGATCTTGCTTTCCATCGATTTATCGAACCTGGCATCCGCAATTAACCCGTCGTGATAAGAGACACGAGGCGGATGGACTCCCTCACGGCCGCTTCGCAGGAGACATCTAGCGGCGAAAGGGGGAACCTCAGAAACAGGATCTCATCTCATTTAACAGCATTAAGATCACGTGCAAGATTGTAACATCAGTCGAAACAGGTTTAAGTTGCGCAAACAAGTGAGACCCAAGTCGTGAGTTTCTTCCAAATCTAGTCCTCATTAAGCCTTTCTATAGTCTTTGTTTAGTCTTTGTTTAGTCTTTCTCTAGTCTTTGTTTAGTCTTTGTTTAGTCTTTGTTTAGTCTTTGTTTAGTCTTTGTTTAGTCATTCTCTAGTCTTCGTTTAGTCTTTGTCTAGTCTTAGTTTAATCTTTGTCTAGTCCTCATCTTGTGCCGAATGCATCGGGCGATGTGGTTCCCGCCCACTTCGTGAATCGCCTGTGGAACAGGTTTGATGGCTGCAGTGACAAACAGGGCAATATGGCTGCAACTTGACATAATAAAATATGTCTCCCGAGGGCGGGCATATAACTCAGCGCTCGAACGCGACACGTGCAGGCAATCCCGGCAATATTGCCCCGACCACGCCCAGCCATGCATCTCGCCGAGCCTTGAACCCTCGCACCCGCGAGAGACGAAACGGAGCGATCCCCGGACGATCTGGGACGGGGATCGTGTCTCTCTTCGGGTCGCCTGCTGTTTTCCAGGGCAATTGCTCCATCGGGTCGACCGTCTCCCCGTCGGCCACCAAGGCCACGCCGCTAATCCAATCGTGAGCCCGAGCCGTCACGATCATCCTCTTTCCCCATGTTCAGAACCCTTTAAATGGAACCCTTTCCAATTGGCAATAGTACCTCTTCAAATGGCAATGGTACCTTTCCAAATGGCAATTGTACCGTTTCATATGACAATGGTACCTTTTTATATGACAATGGTACCTTTTCATATGACAATGGTCCCTTTCATATTGGCGAAAGTACCTTTTCAATTGGCTATGGTACATTCTCAAATGGCAATGGTGCCTTTTTATATGACAGTGGTACCTGGTAAGGTCGACAATCGAAAGACAGAACAGCCCCAATTTTCCCACGCTTGCAGTTCGTGACCATCCATCACGAACGAACCCCGAAATTATGAACCGTCCCGTCTTCTCCCAGTCCTGGAAGTACTTCACGGCGCGGCAAGTCCTTACGTGGCAAGTCCTTACGTGACCATCGCCTGAGACTCCCGGGAGGCTTTTCCCAGGAAGTCATGATCCCGCGGCCGATCCCCTCGGAGGTCTCGCGTAATGACGACCGGGGGCACGAAGCACGGATTATTCGGGGCGTGAAGTACCGAAAGTACTTTCCACGAAGCACCGAACGAAACCGAGCAAAACAGATTCGTTTCTTCGTCTCGGCCCTGGCGCACGTGGCGTATTTAGGCGGTACTAAAAAGGGTACTCTGAGATGAGGAAGTACCGACTGAAGGTGTTGAGTAATTGGTTTGGAAGTACTGAAAAGAAAATACTGTAAGTACTGAAAAGAGTAACCTCCGCAGCTTGCAATAGAACAAGAACAGGACTGATTCCTATTTTTCCAACATTAATAATCAGGGCGCTCGAAAATACCGGCGCAAAAAAAAAACCATCCCATTCGCATGAAGTTTCAGATTGGCATGCACTTTCATGCAAAAAACTGTTTGCACGGATTTGCAGGAAGAAATATTTGCGGAAATGCAGAAGAAAATATCCAGGCATAAAAAGCCAGCGAGCATACTATGAAAAATGAGCAGAAATTCGAGAATGCTGGTAATGAAAGCGCAGGAATCGCTCTCATGGTGTGGTTGCTTATCGGTCGGCCATTGCTCTGAGGAGCTATCGTCCGAATAATGGCCGACGAGTCGGCCATTCGAATTTTCCATTTGCGATTTCTGTCCAGTTATTACTTTCTTCGATAGAACGAATTT